TGAGGAACTCTTGGGGGGCAGGGGTGGGAGATCCCTGAGATTTTGGGTTTTTCTGTGCTTTTGGGGAAGGCTGAGGGAGTTCCTGGGCTTTGTGGGGAGGCTAAGAGTGAGGAGGCTAAGAGTGGGGGATCTCAGGGATTTTGGGTGGCCCTAGCATTTGGAGGCTTTTAGGGGGTCTCTGAGCCTTTGCGGGGGGGAGCTCAGGGTCTGAGGAAGCAGAGGAGGTGGGATTCTGGGGTGTAAGGAGGAAGGACGATCCAGGGGCATTTGGGGATCCATGGGCTTTTGGGGAGAAGTGAGAAGGAGGAAAGGTTTTTTGGCTTTTGGGGACATCTGAAGGTGTTTGGGGAAGAGAGGTGTTCCCATGATATAAGAAGGAGCAGAGATCTGCAGGCTTTTGAGGGGAATCTGCTGAAGAGGAGGAGGATGTCTTTGGGTTGGTGGTCAGGGGAGGAGGGGGTCCTTGGGTCACTGGATGTGAAAAGTGTCTCTAGATCTGATGGGGGACCTGTCTAGAGGCTTGGGTTGTCCCCACCCCCAGCAGACTCGTGGGCTGAGGTGTCCTGCCTCAGTCATAGCCCAGGGCAGAGGCTGGGGCTGTTGCAAAGGTGAGGTTCGCCCTTTACCAAGGTGGTCTGGGAGCGGACAGGGTGCTGGGTTCCACGGGTGAGTACAGACTGGACCTATGGGCGTGGGGCAGGCTGGGGGATGGGCTGGGGACAGGAACATCTCTCCAGTGGTAGCTGGTGGGGACCAGCAGCAGGCTTGGTTTGCTGTCATGAAGCTATATGTGGAAAGCATCAAAGTAGCCAGCCTGTCACCATCCTCTAGTTAAGCTGAAGTGCCCATGGCCTTTCTGAAACCCTGGTTTGCTCCCTAAGTACCAGAGCAGCACCACTCTACTGCAGCCCTTAAGCACCTGCCAGATGATAGCTAGGGCCATGGCTTAATGTGTCAGTCTGCCAGCAAGGTTGGGTCTCAGCAGGCAGGTTCATGAGAAACCTCTGAGCTGAACATGGCTCCCGCCCTGGGGCAAAGCAGGTCTGTGATGCAGCTCTTTGGTTCCAGCTGGGAAGATGTCGGAGCGTGAAAGAGTTCGAGAAGCTAAATCGGATCGGGGAGGGCACCTATGGCATAGTGTGTAAGTGCTGCAGCGGCTGCGCTCTCTGGGCCCTGTTGCAGACGCGTGTCCCCTGGGACAGAGCCAGCGGCATGCCTTTCTGGGTGGAAGCACTGCCGAGCTGCAGGTCGCAGCCTGTGCCAGCGTCGTGGGAGTGGGAGCGTGATGGGTTGGGGCTGAGGTTGCTGTCAGCATGCCCAAGGCCGAGAGGTGGCTTGTCAGTGGGGGTTTGCACTGGCTCATGATAAAACCAGTGTTTGCCTTCTGGTGCTGAATGTGTGGCCTGCGGTGCTGTTCCAGACCGTGCCCGGGACACCCTAACAGATGAAACTGTGGCATTGAAGAAGGTGCGGATGGACAACGAGAAAGATGGTAATGGAGGAGCCGGGGAGCCGCTGTTCTGCAGCACCGGCATTGGGGCGGCAGATGGGGGCTCCTCCTTGCAAACAGGAGCGTGTGTGGTCCTGCTAGAGGTACTTGTGCAGCGTGGCTGTCGCTCTCTGCAGGAATATGCCCATCAGCAGCCTGCGGGAGATCACCCTGCTGCTGCAGCTTCGGCACCCCAACATTGTGGAGCTGAAGGAGGTGGTTGTAGGGAACCACCTGGAGAGGTGAGAGTACCCCCTTCGTCTTCCCATCACCTCCTGCCCTCTCTACCTGTCAGAAGTGATAGCTGTTCTTGGCCTGCTCGCCCTGAGCCTCCTCTCGCAGGGCAAACCTGTGCTGTGAGATCAAGCTGGGACGCTACGGAGGTGACAGGGCCAGCGGTGGCTTACCTGACTGCCTTGTCTCCTGCAGTATTTTCCTGGTGATGGGCTACTGTGAACAGGACCTGGCCAGCCTCCTCGAGAACATGCAGACGCCCTTTTCAGAGGCTCAGGTAAAGGCTGGGCTGGGCTATTGGGAACACCAGCCTTGAGAGGGTGCTGTGACTCCAGCCAAAACGCGCTGGCTGCCCACGGGGATTCCCCAGACCTCGTGATCCCCTGAAATCTCTTGTTCTTGCTTGTATGGGTTGGCCAAACCCTGGTTAAAGTAGGAAGTCCTGGGCCACCGGGGAGCCTGGGCTTAACGGGCTTTCACATCATATTTTCAGAGCCTTTCCAGGCCGAGTTTTGGGTTGGAGCAACCTGGCAGGGAAGCAGAGCAGCAGGCTGGGGTGTGGGAGTGCCTCCAGGCAGCCAGCAAGCTATTGCTTGGAGGACACAAGGAACTGATACAATGACAGAGAGACCCTGCAACTGCAGGAGGACTCTGGGGACCATGTGGCCTCCTTGCAGTTGCCTTAGGGCACCAAAGTGGGTTTAACTTTCAGGGGCTGATCTGGCTGGTGCTGCTAACACAAGGGCTTGCTGCTCCTGTCTTCCGTCCCCAGGTGAAGTGTATCATCTTGCAAGTCCTCAAGGGCCTGCAGTACCTTCATGAGAACTACATCATCCACAGGTAGGAGCAGGAGGACAGACGTGGTGGAAAAGGGACCATGGTGGGTGGCACGGAGAATAGATTGACTGGAGGGAGTCTGCTGAGCCTTCAAACTGCTCTGTGATTCTTCAGCTCCCACTCCTGCATGCTTGGAGCAAGGGGCAGCGTGTGGAGTAGCTCTGGGCAAGGGAGTGGCACAAGTCAGTGCCTTTGACCCAGAGCGTGGGAGCCCTGGCAGAGTAGGGGTGTCAACAGACAAGAAGATTCATTTTTCGTAGTGATCAGGGAGTTCTAGGGCTCTGTACTTCCCTGAGAGCGCTGTGGAACTGCAGACATGAGAGGAACCAGTCTGAAAGAGAGGGTCCTGACCAGGCACTTCCTGTTCCCTGGCAGGGATCTGAAAGTGTCCAACCTGCTCATGACTGATAAAGGCTGTGTGAAGATAGGTGAGCCCGTGGGAGTCGCCTGTCGCTTCTGCTAGCTCAGCTCCTGCAGTGGATGTGGCTGCGACTCTCCCTCTGCTCAGTGATGCAGACAGACCGCGAAGCTTGCCTCCCTCCTGACCTTGACTCTGCTTCTCGGTTGCAGCGGATTTTGGACTGGCACGTACTTATGGGATGCCACCGAAGCCAATGACCCCTAAAGTTGTCACACTGTGGTGAGTAGCTGCTAGTTGGTGCAGGGGGCTGTGCTGGCTCAGGGTGACTCGGAGCGAGTCCTCGTAGTGCTCCATGCTGTGGGACCTTCCCTCACTCGGGCTCTAGCACGGTCCCCTCGAATTGGTGCTTTCCCCTGCACAGGTACCGAGCACCTGAGCTGCTGCTGGGGATGACGACCCAGACCACCAGCATTGACATGTGGTAAGGGGAGACTCTGTCAGGTGGTGAGAGAGGACAGGAGGTGGCCCAAGACTGGCCAGCCAGGTGCTTGGGGGATGAGCAGGAGCCAGGACTGCAAACCTGCACCTCCACAGGGCATCGATGGAAGGATTGGTCCTGCCCCCACTGATTCCTGTGTGTTCTCTGCTCCTCAGGGCCGTGGGCTGCATCCTCGCTGAGCTCCTGGCCCACAAGCCGCTGCTGCCAGGCACCTCTGAGATCCACCAAATCGACCTGATTGTGCAGCTGCTGGGGACACCCAATGAAAACATCTGGCCGGTGAGAGCTGTCCCGCATTTGCTGCCTGTCCTGCCTTCCCTTCCCTGCCTCAGCCTCACCTGCTGTCTCCCTCAGGGCTTCTCCAAGCTGCCGCTGGTGAGCCAGTACACCCTGCGGAAGCAGCCCTACAACAACCTCAAGCACAAGTTCCCCTGGCTGTCGGAGGCCGGCCTGCGTCTGCTCAACTTCCTCTTCATGTATGATCCCAAGAAGCGGTAAGAGCCATCCGCAGCTCTGTGTGGGCAGGAGCTGGGGCAGGCAGGGGAGGAAACCTGCCCTCGCCTGCTCACGAGGTCATGTGCGTCACAGAGGAGACACGCAGGGACAGGCAGGGGGGAAGTAACGGTGCTGACTCCTGCCGCCCTCCAAGGATGGTGGGGACTGCCCCAAAGCTGGGGGCAGGCGGGTCCCTTTGGGTGGGTGCTGGGGGTGGGAATGAGCTCAGTGCCGGGGCTGGTGGGGACGAGCGTGGGCCATGGTGAGGACTGTGTACGTGACGGTAGAGCCCAGCCCCCTGTGAGGGCCCGTTACAGCTCCACTGAGCCGTCCGGTGCTGACGGGAGGTGGAAGGGGAGTTAGGGGTGGGGGCAAGGAGAAGCCCCTGCGTAAGTGCCTCCCCCACCGGCTGGGGCTGTGGTGCTCTGGGCCTGCCTGACCCTCCTCTCTGCCCTGCAGCCTGCGAGCCAGAGCTCATGCCAACCTTCCCCCACCATCGCAACAAGCGAGCAGCCACCACCAGCGCGGGGACGGAGAGCCAGGCGAAGCGCGGCAAGCCCTGAACCGCCGTCCCACGGGAGGAAGCGTCTCTTGCCCCGGGGAGCTGGCAGGAGCTGGCCCTGCTAGGAGGAGGTATGGCGAACTTGAACAGGGATGGCCATCGCCCCTGGGGCTGGGCTGGGCGCAGGCTGCCTGCCCCGCTCTGCCACCCACTGGGGGCTTGCATCTTGCACTGCTTGGCACCCGGCCCTCCTCAGCGGAGCAGCACCAGCCCTGTGGGCTCCATCGCCCCTGGGACAGGCCCTGGCTGCGCTGCCCAGCCCTATCGGCCCCGTGAAGGGTCTCGTGAGGGGAGCCTGTCCCGGCTGCCAGCACTCCCGTGTCCTGCGCTCAGCTCCCGCATGGAGCTGCTGGACAGCTCGGCTGAATTGCCGGCCCTGCAATGGAGTGAGAGGGCCAGACCGCGATGGGGGAGTGCTGCAACCTGCTTCCCTTCGCTTAGTGTCGGCTCCCTTGTGCTGCTTCAGATCTAAAGAGGCTGCAGTCCGGGGCGGTGCTGGGAGCTGCAGGCGGATTGCAGCCCTGCACCTTCCTCCTCCCTGGGGCTGGCAGCAGCAGCGCTGCCTGGCCAGGGTGGGAGAAAGGAGGGATGGGGCCCTGGGCCTCCCTCGTGTTCGGCACTGAGACATGAGGGTGCTGGCTGAGGGCCCTCAGCCTGCGCTCGCTGTCCTGCAGCAGGGCAGCTGTTGTGGGGGAGTAACTCCCAACTTTGCCTTTAATAAAAGTATCTGCAAACAGCAAGGGTGAGAAATGAACTGCTTGTCCCCTGGGGCTCAACCTCCTACCAGGGCCGAGCCGCAGCGCAGTGGGAAGGAAGCCGTGCCCTCACCTAACATCCTGCGGCGCAGCTGGGCCGGGAGGAGCTGGGTACCCTGGCCGTGCCCTCCCCTGTGCCGCCCACCCACTCAGCCCTGCGCTGCGAAGCGGGGACAAGGACAGCCACAGGCTCTGCCTACTTGAAACAGCTTTTAGCTGCGCCTGGCCCTGCTGTCCTGGGAGGAGAGGGCTGCTCTGACATAGCTGTGCCCACTTCCTTTCCCCATCCCACCGTCCTGTGGAGCCCAGTGAGTCGCTTCTTCCTCCCTGCAGCTGTAAGGGCAGGAGGGCTCCAGCTGCTGCTCAGTGCAGAACTGGCCATGGCACCAGAGGGGCCTGGCACCCCTGGGAGGCGGGGGCAAAGCCCTGCCGGTCTCCAGAGAGGGGGCAGCATCAGCCTTGGCCCAGCTGCCCTGCGCGGCCTGGGGCCCAGCAGCATGTCCCCGTGGCACCTTGGCCCACTGGGGCCCTGCTGACACCAATGCAGCCAGTTCCTCCCCACTCCCTCCCTGGCAGAACAAGACCACCGTGCTGTGGGCAGCCGCGTTTTACTGAGATGCACCGAGCTGTTTATAGCAGGGAGGGACAAGTCCTGGCGCGCCGGAGCCCTTGACCTACTGCCTGAAGAGGGGGATGTGCTGCCCTGCGCTGCCCAGCTGTGGGGCAGATTCTCCCCTGCGCGGCCCGGGTTGGGGTTAGCCGAGCTTGGCCCCGGCCCTGCTACCCGCAACCGCTTGAAGGGAGGGCTGGGGTTGAGAGGTTCAAGCTGCTCATCCTCAGGCCAAGTAGTGGTTGCCTGGAGACCCGTGAGCTGCCCAGTTCCCTCCCACCTGGGGAAACCCAGCGCAGCCAGCAGCA